TCACGTGTGTGTTTCTTGGTCGGTCACGTTCGTTCAATCACTCACAACAGTCGTTCTCTTACGATTAAACTGTTGTGTCGTTGATGAGCGCCAATGTGTTAGAGGTCAATTGTCAAACTCGACTGCTTCTTCCGACTTTTGTCAGTCATTCGGGCTCGAACGTTGTTCCAAGTGATGAAACATTCTCGTTTGCGAGCGAAAATTTGTCGAGACCGAATTATAGATATTAACCTGGATATTTCTGACCTTTGAGATATTCTTCAAAAATATATTTCTCTTAATATTTAGAGTAAGTAATATTTTTTTAATATTTAGAACCATCGACCAAAGTATAAAAATCGTATGGGAGAAGTTAGAGTGCAAGGAATGGGAACGAAGAAAATAAAAGAGGGATAAAAGATACATATATTTTGCAGAAATCATTCGAAAAATGCAACGTTATAAATCTGCAAAACTGCTCAAAGAATTACAAATTAGTCATTTTGACTAATTTTAGTGTTAATATTATTTTTAAACGTAAAAGTGCCTGAATTAATTTTTTGAATTATTGTCGACTAGCTTGCAAGAAACTAATTATTTGATAACCTTTGCGAAAATCGTGAAATATGAATTTAAAATTTGAAAGTTGTCACAGAGTTACATCACAGCGTTCTAAATATAATAAACAAGTATATATGTAAAAAAATGTGACAGATGTGATGTAACGTGACTTTGTGTTCAAAAATAAATTGGAATCTGGAAAGAATCTTCTTAACGAAATTTTTTCTTGTTTTCTTTTTTTTTTTTTTTTGTTTTGTTCGTGAAAGATTTATATATTGACGATCAGTCGAGTACGTATTAAACTGAGAATTTATTCTCCACAATTTATGTATTTTTATAACTGTTATGTCTACTTAATCTCAAATTGAACCTCAAGTTCAATGTCAAAAATATAAAGAGAATTATTTACTACATGTATTACATTCAATAAATTATGCGACATTTGCCATTTTTCATTATTAAAGTTTATCAAAGTTTAGATAATAGAACAATAATAAAATTTTCATATGACGAATATAATGAAATAATATATTATCTTCTACACTCGCGTCTTTTTTAAAATTTATTCATTCAAACTTTTTGAAAAAAATATTCTAAAAAAATAAATTTATTATTAATATATATTTATTATTTATTATTTAAAAAAAAATATTCTAAAAATATTAAAAAATATATAATTTCTAAAAAATTTTTTTCTCTTTTCCTTTAATTCTTGATTGGTTAAGAAAAACAAAAGCAAAAAAAAAAAAAAAAGAAAGAAAGAAATGAATAATCACTTATTTGACGAATAATAAAAGCTCGATATTTTCGCTTTCAATGTCATATGCCCTCAGAATCTTTTGATAATTTTATCCAAAAGAAATCATCACCATTTCTATCAACGTATAAGGGTATATTTATGAATTTCGCACGATTAGATTGCCAGATCATCATCTAGACCAGGTAGGTAGAACTGATTCCTTGCCAGCGATTATATTTATCTCGTTCTAATTTTCACGCAGCGTAGTACGCTATCACAAATATTTCTTTTTTTTTTTTCGGACTATAACTAACGATCTCGATTTTCTCGTTCAACAGTTGTACATATTTATATAGTGCTCATTTAACACATAAACAACGTCATCTAATCGTAATCGTTAATTTGTTAAATGTTGGGAAAATGACAATAGTAGGCGAAGTCTTTTCCTGTTTTATTTACTCGTAACTGATATTATTAGACTTTATCAGATCCGAAAATTAGTTTTATTATGAAGATTTTTGTTCAGAAATTATGAAGATCATTTATGAAGATTTTTGTTCGGGAATTAATGATAAATTAGATAATTAAAAATCGTACATTTATTTAAGTGATAATTTCAGTTTCTCGAAAGTTGGATTGTTACATTAATTAATAGAATTCATACTTAGAATGTTTGGAAGAATTTGTTGGATGTTCTCTCTGAAAATTTCTTGGCACTGAACAAAGTTCTGTGCCTGAAGCTCCTTCTTACAGTCGAAGTTTCAAACGAAGAGAGAATATTTTATACTACGATTATCTAAATTTCTTTGACATCGTTGAAAGTCATAGCAATTGGGCATTACATTACATTGCTCAATTTTGAGATTTTTAGTTTCATTTAATTTTTATCGTTAATCTGAATCTCGAATAAATGAAAATATTTCCACTTGTAGTGATCTGACATAAATTATTATAATCTAACGACGTTACTTGAGCATACTAATATCAAGTACTATCGCGGGGTCATCGGTGACTATAGCAATTTGTATCATATTGCAAATTCTATATTTTACATCCCCTCTGACAGGGATTAGTAGCCAAATCAGACCGAATTAGAAGTTCTAAAATCAAGCAATGTAGAACCTAAGTTTTTCGAGCATTTTTTATACAATTTTTTGGCTCTCGCTGTTCAATGATCCAGTTAAAGGTCAAATATTCGACGAACCGAAACATGTATCGATGTATCAGAGGAAAGATTCGACCGATGGTTTCATGGTGGTCATCACGCTCCATTTCTTGGCCAATTGCTTTCGATGATCGACTATGGCGAGCTCAGCGCCAAAAATAATTGCCAGACCTCTGCGTTCGCAAGGCAGAAACGAGGACGTTTCTTCCTCTTCATCTTCGTGTGTACGTTTTACAGCTGCGTTGCTTTCCTTGCGAAATATCAACTACTTGCTTTTATTTTATTGTTATTCTCGCGTACGAGTGCGTATGGAGCGGTGCAACAATAAGCTCGAAGAGAAGGTGAGATAATTATTTTCTCGATTTTAACGCGGTAACGTTATTATTTCGGGAATATGTCGGTCCTTTTGTCTTGGTATTTATTTATTTTTTTTTTTTTTGGTCCTTTTATTAAACGCAAGGAATAAACATAGTTGAAATTTGCATTTTCCCCGATTACGATGTAGTATTTTACGTTACATTCTTTAAGATTGTTATATTGCATTATATTTTATGTTAAATTCTTCGAGAAGAATTGTTTCATTTCACGTTATGAATTATTGACATGTTATTGTTTATATTTATTCACTTCTTCTACCAAGTTTCACAATATATTTGCTTAAATGGATGATTTGCGAAATTTAATTATCAAAATTTATATACATATATATATTTTTATCATATTATGCTTTTTAAAGAAGATTTATATGTTACGTTACGAAATGTGTTATTGAGTAGAATATTTCTTCGATTGAATTGAACATTTCTTTTCTTTTTGAATTTATTTCATGTAGAGTAACCAATGACTTTCGTGCTATATTTGGTTAAAGAGATTGTTTGTGAAATGTAACTAAGTTGAAATTTATATTTTCACTTATCTTGGTTTGAATTCAATAAATTATATAAATTACATTCAATAATAAATTCTTGATTGAAATGTATTAATAAATTATATTCAATAACATGTGGTATTATGTTATGCATAATGTGATATTTGATCAATTATTTCTTTATTTGTCTCTTATTTAATCAATTATTTTTTATATATCTACTTTGTGTTCTCAAATAACATTTTCGTTTTAAATTTATTACTGGAAAATCTATTCTTGAAAAAAATCGTGCGTTGAAAGATTCATTGTTGTACTGTAACCCAGTTGCAAAGAGAGTCCTGTGTCGTAAGAACACGTTCTGCGCGTCAAAATTTCAACACGTAGGTCGCGATGACGATCATCCGCATTTCCTGTGCCTGCTCTTTCTATTAACATTTTGGCTAGAAGCCAGTCTTGTGATCTGCGCTCAAATTTCTCCGCGATGTCATTAACGCGAGTTCATTTTTATCATCTTGTTTACAAACAAGACGATAATAATTGCTACGAGCAATTAGTTATATCGCGAGCCACATGTCCATGTCATGCGATCAGTTAGTAAAAAAAGAAATATATTTAACCTTTATTATTTATAATACTTAAACTGATTTACAAAGTTTATTGAAATACATCTTGTAGTTACAAATTTCAGTTTAATGAGATTTAGTCAACAATATTTTCGGAAACAGCAAACAGATTTTATTCTTATTTTTAAATGTTTGAAAAATATATTCTGGAGCAACGAATTCAGTTCACTTCAACAGAACATTCCACTCAAAAATGTTAGCGTTCAAGTTAATTAAACTTAATCCTTTCTAAGGAGACAGAGGATTTCTCAATTCATTCTGTTTTATTCTATTTTTATAATTATCTTTCTACGAACGCAGGAAGAAACGTACGGGACGTGTTTTATAAAACGCAAAGTAATTTTCTGCCCAACGACACTTTTTCTTCGCAACGTGAGCGATAAATATAGGCGGGCAGGCTGAGTTGCTTCATCAATTCAAAAAAGAAAAATGTAACTCGATCACAGAGTTAACATCCACTGCACCATTAATTAACGTCACTGCTTCAGAATACGTCTTAAAATGTTTTACATTCATCGAAGAATATTACAAGTTTAGCGTCTTTACCATAAATCTAATTTAGAATTCATTCAGAGATCCAAAAATAAATGTACATCTGTTCAAAGTTCCGCCAACTTTCGATCGAATTTGGCTTGAAGATCGACTTCAAGGAAAATCCATAAAACTAGCTGATAGAATCCAACTGCATGTTATTTTCACTGCAAGGATGCTGCGGTATTATACGACGAAGCTCGTTGCGGCAACAGCTTCGCAATTGTAATTGTGAAGGATAATAACACGATTATGTGCCTAATATGCGATCTCTCGTTAATCGTTGCAAGCTCTATGATTATTGCATTTCCCTATTGGTCTGGCGATTTTGTTCTATACGATTATTAAGAATTCATGATTCTAACGAATCATCCTTATCATCGTCAGTGTCAACTGACATGATGACATTTATGTCAACGAGAAGCGAGGCACTTGTTTGTCATGAACGAGACGTGACAGTGTTCTCGCGTTTATTTTCGTAAGTAGATTGAGTTGATCTTGGTCGATCGTTTATTTTTTTTACTTCGTTGTTTCGGATGATTTTTACTCTGGTAACGTAAAGAGTATGTCAGCTAGAGTGTGAAAAACGTTCAAGTGAAATTGGAGCATGAAATTTTTTCTTTGCGACGTTTTATGACAAATCGAGTGGTGAAAAAGTTGGTTACGTCTCTCATTCTATCATAAAAATTTGAAATTATTAATATCTGGATTCATCTATAGTTTCTTGAAAGTAACACGATAATTATTATTAGAACTTTAGTGCTTTTATAATGAAATAAAATTGTGTCACAGTATTTCACGCAGTCTATACTTACGAGAAACAGCTTTTGTATGTTAATTATTTATTAGCATGTATCATTCGACCATGAAAATTCGTTCCAAATTTTCGAACGTTTTCAGTGTACGTTTTCAGTGTACATTATCTTTAAAATATTGAACGCACAGTTACTTTTAAAACACAAATATACAAATCGTTAAACAAAACAAAATAGATACAAGATCCATCTCTCAAGTAGAAATGTACAAATCGTTCAATTTCTGTCCCTCGGCATTCACGTAAAACTCAGACCGATTTTTCACAAACTTTCTCTCACGAACGTAACGGTGCAACGGTTCATTAACACCGCGTCGCGTAATTTTGTCTCTCAGGTTAATACGAAAGGATTGTCGCGCATTATATGCGGAAGACAAGATTTACGAACCGATACGTGCAAATGCGAGGGAGACGAGAAAATTTATACGCGGTGCCTTGAGATTCGATCCGCGCCGACCGCGAATTGTATTCAAATGACGATCGTGACCCCACGCGTGACCTCTCGCGTGATTACGAAACTACTTAAAAATTTTTTTTTTTTTTTTTCAATTTTAAAACGCTCCTCCTCCTCCGGCGCATAATTAATTTCTCTCCTCGTTTTCTCGCCTCGCTTCATCACACAGGCGACTTTAGATAAACTTTAGCATGGGATAGTTCGTTTTCTCAACCTATGTCAATCCTGTCAATTAAGCCAAGCGTTTAAGAGTGTTTGATGTGTTTATGAGAATTTTATTCTTGGAGAATTATTTTTGTTTATTTTCATTTCTAAAAATTCGTTTAATTTTCTACAGTATATTTATTGGAAATTTTATAGTATTTTATGTCTATATTTACATTTAATTATACTATTACATTTACGTATATAACAACCAATAATATCAAACGCAAGTGATAGTACTTGATACTTAATAAATGTTAAATTGAAATATAATATTATACTTAAATGTTACAATCTTATTTTTAATTATTAATTCATCCTTCATATACTTTGATTCACTTATTGCAAATTAGCCAAAATGTCTAGATACTTACGAGATCGTAGTGTAACTAAATATGTACTTTTTTAAATCATTTTACATTATATTTATACTTGTTATATTTGTCATTTATATATTATTTTATATTATATTATAAATTGCCATTATTATATTTTATTACTTATATTATACATTATTATGTTGTATTATTTTATATTATACATTATATTTCATTATACACGTATTATTTACAATATTATATTTTATGTGATACGCTATATTATTTATGATATATTTTGTTTGCAAAGTTTCCTCGTCTGACGTGTGCTTCGCTCTATTTTCAGACGAGCACCGAGAGTCGAGAGGCGGAAGAACAGGGTAGCAGCACGACCTCGCCCTCGGAGGGCAGGCACGCCGACGAGACGTCCGGCTCGTCCGTCCTTGAGATGGGCAGCACGGATTCGGCGGGCAGCGCCCACAGCGGCGGCCCTTCCTGCGGCCTGGTCAGCTCACTTTTCCCGAGCAGCTGCCGTGGCCGGGCCGAGGCGTTCGCCAGGCGTTTACATCGGCGACTAACCTCTCTCGGCGGCGAAGAGAATTCCCAGCAGAACGAGGAGTCCTCGTTGCCCAAGGAAACTTCCTGGTTACGTTCCTCTTCCGCAGCGAAAACAATGATGAACAACAACACGTCGAACAATCACGTTCTTCAACATCAACCGCGTCACAATCCCGACACGGACCTCTGCTACGATTTCGATCTGGAGTACGAGGACGGCCTTAGCTCGCCGGCGGAGGAAGCAACGGCCGCGGAGGTGGCGGATTTAGTCGTGAATTCCGAGGTACTGAAGTCGAATCATCACGAGGTTCGTCATCACAGTTCGCCGAACGGTTCGAAAGCAATGCTCTCCAGTATAGATTCCGAGTCTGGATATGTTTACGCGTCTCCTCTGTTGGGTACGTCGCCAGACAGCGACTGCTCTGATATATTCTTCGACCCGGAATCGTCCGACGTGGAGAAACCGAAGAACGAGGTGTTCTTCGATCCGGTGACCACGTCGGACAGCGAGCTGACCACGTCGAATCTCTCCAACGGTTGCGACACGATGAAAGCCAAGAACAACACGCCGTACCGTAGACGACCTGTCGAGATCAGCGTCGAACATTCCGAGGACACGTCCGAGTCGAGCGCGTCGTTCAGGAGGAACAATTTCTGCGACCTGATCAAGGACCCGAGGAAGGACGATTTGGTATGCAGTTCGGAGGACTCGAACGACAAAAGCTCCCAGGAGACGACCAGTCACGAGTCACTTTGGAGCACCTTCGACGAGAGCACTATGTCCCTGCAGGACGAAAGTCCCTCCAACGTGAATCCTAATCTGACGCTCCAGAACCGGCTGCCTAAATCGCATTCCGACTCCGAGATACCCACGG